GGGCCAAGGAAGCGAGACAAGTTTTGATATTTGTGTTTTTTTGGTACCAGGGATCAAACCCAGGCCACCACTGACTATAGAGGTCCTGTCCTGGAAGGGAGAGGAACTCCTAGAGGCCTGATGGTCTCTTCCAAAGTAATCAGAATGACCTGAAATATTTGCTTCTGGGACTGAGCTTGGACAGGTGATGCAACCTCAGTTTCATCATCTGTGAAATGGGATTAATAATACACCACGAGGTTTTGGGAAGATGAAAAGAGATAATTATGACAAAGCCGAGGCCTGGCAGGTGGTGGACTCTAATTCCCCCCACCCAACTGTTGCTTTATGGCATTTTTAGGTTTTTTTCTTTTAAACCTATGTTTCCATACGTGTCCTGTTCATGAGCTGTGGCCTCCTCTCACTGGGTTTACCTTTGTATTCTCATGCCTGGAATAAGGTCCTGGGCATAGCTGTGGGATTTGTTTTTGAGCTGTTATTCAGTGCTGTGCTGGCCAGGCTGGTCTCTACTCCTGACCCCAAACAAACAATCCTCCTGCCTCAGCCTCCGCCTCCCAAGTGCTGGGATCACAGGTGTGTACCACGGTGTCTGGTTCTGTTGGGTGCTTTTTTTTATTGCCTTAGCACTGGGGAGAGAAGCTGGGCGCTCTACCACTAAGCCATGTCCCCAGCCCTTTTCACTTTTGGTTTTGAGTCACGCCTTGTTCAGGACTTCGCTCAGCCATTCTCCGGCGTCTGCTTCCCGAGCAGCTGGGGCTGTAGGTGAGCCCCCCAGCGCCGGGCCTGTTGAGTGCTTTTGCGGTGCCCTCGCCACGAACTGGAGCCTCCTTTTCTCATCCTGAGATAATTCCTCGGAACCAGGATCCAGTGTTTTGCCTGCCAAATGACCACCTCTCTGTTCCTCTGCTTCAGCAGTCTCCGAAAGTGGCCAGCTCCGTGGCCTTGTTCAGCCCTTCCTGATTTTTTAAAATTGTAATTTCTGAAGTTGTGTCAGTGGAGCCAGACACTTCCCACAGAGGCTCTGGAGGCCTTTTACTTCCTCATCCCCCCCCCCACCGCCAAGAATCACCCAGCCCCCGCCATTTCTTAAAAGCCAAATTAACCTTTGCTGTCACCTTCTCTGAATGGCAATGACCCCAAAACATAGGCTCCTTGGGTGATCTGCGGTGTTTCCAAATTCATCATTTTACAAAAGTCAGCTACTCTGGGGCCTGGTATCACAGAGTGAGTGCTCCTGCCAGGTTTGGGGTGCCCATGAGCCCACAGTGGTGTCTCTTCTGTCCTGGGTGAGTCTGTCACTGAGTGAGTTTGCATTCTACTTGGAAAAAAGGTTGCGGTTTCCAGAGCCTCTCGGATTTCCGTGTCACTGACAAGCTTCTGTGTGCCTGTCTGGGGTGTTCTGTGTCCCCTGCCTGTCGTGCTGGCTGGATGCCTGGTTTCACAAGGCTGGGTGGGGTCTCCTTCCCTTGTCTGCCCCCAGGGGGTCTGGCATGAGGCTGGTGCTCACTAGGACTTTGCTGGATGATTATTCCCTGTGCCTGATAATGATGATAAAGTAAATAATCATAAACTCTAATGGGGCCTGTTATTTATGGGCCTACTATGAGCACCCTCTGGAAACTGTTTGGTCACTGTTGTCACCCTCAGGGGGTTTGTCACTGTCACCTTTCTTTTACTGATGGAGAAATTGAGGGCAGCAACAGAACCCAGGCGTGGGTGGCTCTGGGTCACAGCCTGGGGGACCCCTCAAGTCATCCTTCTCAGACCCCAAGGAGGGCTGCTTCCTTCCCAGCCCTGTGGCCAGCAGCCTTTGCAGGCCCCTCCCTCTTGCTGGAACATCTGTAATACTGGCCAGCTACCAGCTGCCCCTTGTGGCAGCCACCTGTCCTGCTGCCCTGGCCCAGGGCTCTGGCAGCTCAGCTGGACCCCACCACCCCTCTGCCACAGTCAACAGTGAACACCAGGGCTGTCAGTTCACCCTAACACCTCGTGTTTGGGGCACCATCTCTGTCCTCCTGCCTTAGCCTTTGCACCCCCACTTCCGCCAGCCTCTCCATCAACCTGCAAGTGGCCTCAGGCCTGATCTAGGGACTTCCTCTTCAGGATGCTGCCGCTGTTGCCAACCATCTTGTGGGGCTGGACGCCTCCCACATCAGGACACACAGTCCCACCACGCACCAGTGTCTGACGGCTCCTGGGATCTTCCAGGATAGGCTGCAGACACTCCCAGCACCATGCCCCGGCACACTAGGTGGTGGCCAGTGGCACAAAGCAAGGACAGACCTGGAGTAGCCATTGACGATCCTCCCAGATACCACCTTCCGGAACGGCTCCCAGTGCTTGGGGTCTCCTTCCACTGGCGCGCCCAGCAGCACCACATCCTCAATGATCCCCTGGCAACCTGGAAAGAGACACCAGAAAAGGCCATCAGTGTCGCTGGCTGCACTGGGTCCTAGCAGAGGGAGAGGAATTCACACACACACACACCTCTGTACATGGACACACCTATGCATGTGCACACACACATGCAAACCTGTACAAGCATGCTCAGTAATGGGGCTTCTGTTTACTGAGTCTGGACCCTGGGTCAAGCTCTCTTGTGCTAGATCTATTTCTGCAAAGCACTGCAGCCACCAGTTTAGGGTTAAGAGGAACCCAGGGCACCTGCAAGATCACATGTGGAGCCAATGACACAGCCGAGCTGGGAGCAGGTCTCACAGAATCTGTTTATCCTGTCTCCTCCTCTCACATCAAGGCAAGCGAGGGCACACACTCCAGCTACCTTTTCACAGCTGTGTGCCAGGCCTAGAACTGCAGCTGGTACACTCTGGGCACTCAATAAGGAGCCAGACAGATGAGCGGCTCCACTAGGAAAGCAAGCGAATGGACTTTGATACCCAGCTTTGCCACTGCTGAGCTCTGTCACGCGAGTCAAATCACTTAAGTTCTCTGTGCCTTAAAGAGGACAGCGATGAAGGGGGGTGTCTATGAGGATTAGGTTGCAGTGCAGGGAAGAAGCCAGCATAACAAACACAGCCAAAGTCAGCAAACCCCTGTCCTGCCCCGCGCTTCCTTTAGAAGCCCAGCTCCTGTGCATGCAGGGGAGCCACATATGCAGGTGGCCCTTGCAGAATGCATCCTGGTGGAATGGCTACACCAGCTCTGCCCTCTCTTTTGCAGAGTGACATGGTATGTTTGGTTTCTTCTCTCTGGGCCCCACTTTGTAACCAGAGCACTGCTGTTTCCTTTTGGGCTTCCAAGCCAGAGTTTTCTAATGAAGGGTGCCAGGTACACAAGAGTTTGGGGGCCCTGAGAGCCAAGCTCTCTGATGGCTCCCTGCCTCTGAGGTTAGAAGTGTTCGTGGCACAGAACTGACCTCACTCCTTTTGCTTCTAGGGAGAGGACGCTCTGGCGGAGGGCTGAATACTCCAGGCTGCTGCTAGTCTGGGCTCAGAGCCCCCTCTCCGGGAGGAGTTTCAGGTGGTTATGTTGCTGGCAAGACCATCAGGGCCCTGAGAAATCAAGGAGATTTCACTGCAGCCATTTCCCTAGCCAAAGAGGAAATGGACTCAGAGAAGGGATGGGGCTTGCCCCGGGTCACACAGTCAGAGACAATCAAGCTGAGGCCACACCAGGCTACTGGGGAGCTGCTGGGTCTCGGGGGGCCAATCTGTCTGCTGTTGCAGTAACCACCAGCACAGGGATCACATGGGGGTTATGGGTGCTCCAAAAGCACCAAACAGGGGTGGATTCTGGATGACCACCAGGCCAGCAGGTTTCTCTGGGGCTCAGCGTGCCCCTCTATGTCCTGTGGAATCAGGCTCACAGGACTGTGCTTTTCAGCCCTGGTGCCACTGCGGGAGGGCTGGGCCCCCTTGTGGGCAGCTGTGGTAATGGGCAAATTCTTAAGCAAATGCTCAGATCAATGGAAAGGGACTGGAAAAACCAAGTGACCTTGAACTGAGCCTTGCAGTTGAACCTCATAAAATAGGCCAGTGAGCAGGCAACCCAAGGCAGGGTGGGCGGTGAGCTGGAAACGCATTTTCCCTTTTCTGAGGCCAGCGGGCAGCTGCTTCCCTGTTCATCTTCAGAAGGCTGCCAGGTCAGCTACCCAAGGTTAGGGGGGCTTTGCTGGCTGCATGGTCAAATACTTGTAGAGAGGCCATGTGGCAGACTCTCAGCCATGCACAGGTATAGCTAAGAGAGGTCAGCAGGAACCGCCTCAGCCCCACCCCAGAGAAAACGGGGTCTGAGCCCCCACTCCCACATGTCCAGGGACTAGACAGTAAGGACAGAAACTTGCTTGGGAAAAGAAGGCATAAATTGCTATCTTAGCTGCTGGGAAGGAAAAAATAAATCTGAGCCCACTGCTTGGTCCTGAACCTTACAATATCAAGGATTTCGGTCTTCTAGACAATGTATAGAGAATCCTCCCCCGGTGACATGCTCAGTACCTAACAGAACCCTGTCACGGGACTGACGTCTCTGGATCATGCCTGTAACTAACAGAAGAGCCGGCCGCCTTTCTGCGGTGGGGACGCAGTGCTTGCCGAAACGGATCTGGCTTTATCCCTGCTGCCGCCATCAGCTTTGCCTCTTGTGAATTTTTAAACTATTAACCTCAGCCCACCGCTTTATAAATATTCAGATTTTCATGTAGAAGAGGGCGGGGATCATCAAGTTTGGGAGTCAGAGACACATGCAGCCTTTGTGCCTGGATCTCCCATCTTTTAAACAGGTCCCTACATCTGATTAACATCTGCTTTTCACTGTTGGGAGCTGGCAGGCTTTCATCCTGTTGTAACTTTAGCATTAAGGAGGCGTCAAACCTCTGGGAGCTAAAAAAAAGAACGGCTTATCAGGCCTGTCTCCAGCTCTCCACCCTCTGGACCGCCTGTCACTGACTTGAGTGGTGAAACACATTTCTTTCTCGTGCTTTCCTCTCTTTTTCTTCCTCCCTCCCTCCCTGTTTCTATCCTTCCCTCTCTCTCCCTCCGTCATCTCTATTTTTTCTCTCTCCTTCCTCCAGCGCTGGACATTGAGTCTAGGGCCTTTGGAGCCCTTGTTATTTTCTAGTTGGAGACAAGAGTCTCACTACAGTGCTCAGACTGGACCCCACGACTTCCGATCTCTCTGCCCCAGTGTGCTGGGATTACAGATGTGCACCACCAGGTGTTCACCTCTTCATTTTATTTTTTAACACATGATCCAGCGGCTCTTGTGATAAGCAAGTTATACAGCAGAGGAGCCCGATCCTGTCACCTCTCTACCTGGATCCTCTTGGGGAGTCAAAGTTCAGGCACCGTGATGGCCTCAGAAGCCCTGCATGACTTCACGGCTCTGCCCCTCACTGGCTCTGCTCGGCTGCACTGGCTTTAATGTGTCAGCACGCGCCAGACCTCCGCCCTGTGGTTCCCTCCTGCTGAGGGCTCTGCTCCTGGACACCCACACGCTTCCTTGTCCTCCCCAAGGACAGTTGCAGGCCACTTCCCACCCTGACTGCTACCCCAGCCACCTTGCCCCTTTACTTTTCTCCACCGATGGGTCACTATCTGATGGCTGTCCAGTTTTCCTTTCCAGGTCTTAGTGGTGAACAGTAAGCTCTGCAGGGCTAGGATCATCGTCTCTGACTTTACCATTGAATCCCAGTGCATGGCATGGAGATTAGTGCTCAGTTAGCATTCGTGGTACAAATGAAAGAAAAAAGACTCCATCGTATAAAATCTTCATGCTGAGAATAAATGCAAGGTGTGTGGGGTCTTTTCCTGTTCCCTCACCCCCTGGCACAAGTTCTTCCGGCAGCTATGGCCGAGGATCTCGGAACACTGTGCGGCACACAGAATTTAACGGCCGTCCTCAGCCTTTCGGCCACTCATTTCTAAGGCTCTGCTCCCGGGCAGCGACCCTTCTCTGAAAGCCAGCGGTCTTCAGCAGGCGAGGAAATCCATGAATGATTCTGAAAGCCAACACTGTCCTAGACTCAGGGGCTCGTGGCAGCCCCAGGGAGCACCTGGCACTCACTGTGGAGCGAAGCTTCTACCCCGCAGGCCCAGCCCACGTGGAGCAGAGACTCAGCGTCCCCTGGCCTCTCGCTGGTGGGTGACACCAAAGCTCAGAATGCAAAGACCAAGAGTGACACTAGGGCCTGAGAAGCCAACTGCGTACCCCCATCTGACACCCAGTTAAATGTCTCTAAAGTCTCATAACTGACCAGCATGATTTCAAGACTACGTGCATATGCTGTTGTGTTACAGAATTCCTGGATTCAGAGTGACATGTCTGTTGTATCTTTTCGCTACCTTTCCCTTGCCTTCCCTTCCCTCTCCCCTTCTTTCCTGGCTCCCTGAAGTGCTGGGGATTGAACCCAGGGCCTTGCATCTGTCAGGCAAGTGCTCCACCAGCCGTATTTTCTCCATCAGTCAGCACTATGGTAAGGCTGCTTGCATGTGTAGTCTGAAAACGCTTGCCATCAGGAAGGGACCCTGTACTCAGAAAGACCGGGAACCACCAACCAGTGCAGCGGAACTGGGTTAGAGAAATTGGTGTAACAGAAATTTGGATTTAAATACTAGCCATGCCACTACATTAACTGAGGTCAGGACTTTCAAAACTGGAAGTCTCACTTTATTTGTAAAAGGAAGATGTCGGTTGAATATTCATCATCTGAAATGCTTGGGGCCAGCAGTGTTTCTGATTTTGCGGTTTTTACATATACGTATTGAGATATCCCGGGGATAGGTCCCGAGTCTAAACACCAACTCACTTACGTTTCATTTACACCTTATTCACATGGATGAAAGGCAACTTTATATTTGTAGTGCGTCTGGGTTTTGACTGAGTCAGGTGTGGAATTGTCTACTGAGGGCATTTGCTAGGCACTGAAAAAAATTCTGCATTTTGGAGCAGTTTGGATTTGAGATCCTTGGATTCGGTGTGCTGAACTTGTAAGATAATACTCCCCATTTCCCAGGGCCAGAGGGTATTTGTGTGCACAGGATGGGGTGTGGCACACAGCCTGGGCAGTGCCCGCCCTGTTCTTCTTGCTATGTAGACCATCCACGTGGCAGTTACGCAGAATGCCAGAGATGGGAGGTCGTCTTTGGGGAGGGCCAGGCCATCGATATTTGCTGCTGCCCAGCCAAGAACAGCAGCAACTGTTCTGGGTGCTCAGCAGTGGTGGGAAGCGGGCATGCTGGGAAGCAGCTGAAGAGCTGGGAACTGCAGCTGGACACTTCCTCCTCCACTTATTTTTTTTCAATTTTTCATTATGGTAAAGTGAAACGTATCACATAAGGTTGCCCATTTCTTCCTTTTCTAAATGTACGGCTCAGAAGCCCCCAGGACATTCCCGTGGTGGCACAGTTCTCCTCCTCTCCTTTTATTGATCAGGGTTTAGATAAATCACTGCTCTGATCATGCCCTGGCAGTTTGCCCCACACTCCTGGAATGGCACTGTGGCCAGTCGCCTCTGCCAGCAAGCTGGGGGTTCTTAAAGCTTTGCAGAACCCATCGAGGGCTGAGATGGGTCAGCTTGTTCACAGCAGTGAATGTCAGTTCCCCCCACACCCCTGTTCTTAGAAACTGGATATGGACTGAGTTTTTGCAAACTCAAACATTCTCAAGCATGTGACCCGCTTAAACACAGAGGGCCTGCTCTGTCCAGAGCCCCCTGGAAACCTTTCTGTGTGGTGAGGGGCGCTGTGCCGATGGGAGCAGCCTGACCGACCTCTGTCAGCCCATCCTTCCCTACAACTTCCTTAAACTCAGGCGAAGCTGCTGCACAGAGCTTCCCGGAAACTGCATGGAATAACTGTCCAGGCAGCTGCCCGCATCCCACATGCCCGTCACGTTGTCAGTAATGAGATTCTCCTGGCTGCCAAGACCAAAGCATCTCAAGTTCAAGAAGCAAAATGGACGGATTTTCTCCCGCCTGGCAGGGGTTCGCGTGTGCGGTGAGTGATAAGGTGGCAAAGGAAGGAGAGAATTATCTCCGGACTGCGAGTCCGCCAGACAGCGCTGGAAGGAAACGGCGCAGACTGAGTCTAACACAAATGGGATCCATTGCAAAGATACACACATGTGCACATCATAAACGCAGGGAGAAGCCACAAAAGGGACCGAGACCGAGAAAGGAGAAAGGGGGCTTTGACTGAACGGCCTGGCTCTCCCCAAAGGAAGGAGGGTCACACTGGGAAGAATTGCTTAGAGGCGCCCGTTTGGATGTATTATTACTGGGATTTGGGATGAATTCTTTAAGGCACAGACTAAGCCCTCATTTCCCCTTTTTGATTCCCAGCTTTTTCATTTGGCCACGCAAAGTAATAAAGCTATTACCACACCCTGGGACCCTGGAAACCAATCGGTTCTGCCTGACCTTGCCTTGCTCCCCCCAAGGGACTAAAAGCTGGGTCTGTCTGAGGATAAAGCAACTGGTGGATGCAATTCCATGGAAGGGAAATAAATCACATCAAACATGATGCCTGCTATCAGGGAGATGAAAGAGCCAGCTGACCGGGGGCAGGGGACGGTCTGCTGCATTTCAGCTGGCGTCGAGTGACAGCTCAGACATAATTTTCAACTATGTGGGAATTTTGAGACTCAAGGGTCAGGATGGGCAGACGTACGTGTGAGCACTGATGAACCCTCCATGCCTTGGTTTCATTTTGCAAACCTCAGGACCCGGGATGGTGGCCCAGCTTCGGGGGCAACGAAGGGACAGGCGAGGAGAGGAAGCCTTTGCTGCTGAGGGGCTTTGGGTTGGCTGGTTTAAGACCAGGTTCTGGAATTCTCTTTGTCTCTTCATTTTTCTTTATTCTTATCTTGGCAATGCTGGGATTAGAACCCAGGGCCTCACACATACTAGGCAAGGGCTCTAGCACTGAGCCATAGTGCAGTAAGGGAATTCCCTTTCTTAATCCACTTCCTCCTCTTTTCTTCTTCAGGATCACAGTTTCCTTTAGGGTAGGCTCAGGACTAATTGCTTTTGTTTTTGGTACCGGGAATCGAACTCATGACCTCAAGCTTGCCAGGTAGGCAATTGTGCTAGTGAGCTAACTCCCTGGCCAGACTAATTGCTTTTTGTATCTGTTATTTCATTTACTCCTTGCAATGATCCCAAGTAATAAGTAAGCATGACTTCTGCTTTACAGTGGGAAAGCTCAGAGCAACACTTATGTGTTCAAAGTCTCACTGCAAGTGTCATTATGGAATTTAGATACTTTTCTCTCTCATTCTCCTGTTCCATTTCTCTTTGTGATCAAATAAAACTTATTTAGGCAATGCTGGGAATCAAACCCGGGTCCTTATGAATATAGCAAGCACCCTGCCTTTACCACTGAGCTACACCCCTAGTCCTCTTCTTTTTTTAAAAGAAAGGGAACACAGCTGGTTGCCGTGGCACACATCTGTCATCTCCTTACTCAGGCAGCTAAGACAAGAGGATCACAAGCTTGAGGCCAGCCTGGGCAGCTCAGTGAGACCCTGTCTCAAAGGAAAGACTAAAAAGGGCTGGGGAGTAGCTCAGGGGTACAGCAGGAGGTGCTCAGCCCTTTGTTTGGGGAGTTCAAGGAGCATTTGTGCAGCCTGTTTCTGTGGTGCTAAGGGTCTAGGTGCTGAGGTCTCACCTGGCAGAATGGAGCGGTCAGTTCATGGTCACCTCTGCCCTACACTGCTCCTGGTACACGGTAGGTTCCCAAGAGCAGTTTGTTGACTGACAGATAAATACATCCATCCCATGAAAATGCTACCCCTGAACACTCAAGGCAAGCCTGCACTTCTGACCCTGTTCCTCTCTGCAAACTATCCTCTCAAAGTGGTTGAAAAATCTTGGCTCGGGTCACTGGCCCTCCCCAGCAGTCTCTTTCCTGCTTCTGGATCTTGGGCACTGCCAGTCCCAGACCCTCAGGCCTCCTGCTGGGCTCACAGCTCCGGGGAGCCATTAGAAAGCTGCCGCTCCCCTTGAAGCTTTCTCTGCGCTCTGGAGGGAGAGGACCTCTCATCTGAATCACCACAGCCCCTAGCGTCTAGGCCCCTGGAGGTGTGTTTGGTACTGTAACTTCCCTGCTTTAAGGCTAAGGACAGCAAGCTTGTCACAAGAGGCAGCACAAAGAAGCAGTTAATAGGGAATGGTCAGGATGAGACACCTGGGATTAGAAGCCCAGTGTTGCTAACTGCTGGCTGTGTGCTCTTGGACAAGTCATCTAAACTCCCTGAGCTTCAAGTTCCCCAACTTTAAAAATGGAACTGCAAATCAGGCTCGAGGGCCCATGCCTGTAATCCCAGGATTCGGGAGGCTGAGGCAGGAAGAGCTATGTAAGGTTGAGGCCAGCCTGGTTTACATAATGAGTTCAAGGCCAGCCTGAACTATATAGCGAGACCTTGTCTCAAAGCAAAGCAAAGCAAACCCAACAAGAAAATGTATTTCCAGGAAGTCCACACTTCCAAATGACTAGAAAAAAAACAATCAAGGTGGGTCTGTTCCCACAAGTACACAGCAGGTGCTCCATACACACCCGCTCTCTTCTCCTTGTAACAATGGTTTGTATTGCAAGGAGTGAGCATTTTCTATCCAACTTGAGCAGAGGAATGTACCAGGACTCAACCCCACCCTTTCACTGCTGAGTCTGAGATTCACACACAACAGTCCTGCAAAGTCTCCTCTTTTACAGCAGCTTAGTACAAAATGTAAAACCACCCAAGTGAAAATCCAGCTCGAGACTCGTCACCTAATTGACTTTTCCAAATGCCCAGGTGCTCACCATAGTGGAAGCCAAAACTGCAGGCAGAAAGTCCCTGCTGCAGTGTCTCCAACATATCTCTGTACCGACAGGCAGCTTGTCAAGGTCATTCTCAGCCACGGCGACCTCCTCACGCCCGACCTCCCTAGCTTGCCAAAGGCAGAGACGGGGGAACCATTTGAGCTTTCAACTCCTAAAAGGAAAGGTGCCGGCTACAGATGGCCTACACTTGCGGGGAGCTTGGCAAGTGTTTTATGTCCATGATCCCACTTAGTCCTTTTAATGGTCTTATAAGGGCAGTATTAGTTGAACCCCTTCTCAGGTGAGGAGACTGAGGCCTAGAGCCTATGTACATTGTGTCTGTTGCTCAGTTTGGAAGAAGCAGAGCTGGACTTCAGATCCAGGCTTGGGCGCTCTACAGAGGATCTTGCCAATGGGATCATATCTCCTGTGCAGGCTGATTTTTTTTCCCCAGGCTCTGATACTTTGCATTTATCCACAAGTTGTTGCTCTAATGGTTCTATTTGTTAAACACCTGCAAATCCTTTGAAGAAGGTGATGGAGTAATGATGTTTCAGTAAATGACTAACCAACCAATGGGAGAAATAAAGAGTGACGAAGAACATACTAGACCACTCTAGAACATACTAGAACATACTAGAACATTCTGACCCAGAAGGTCAGAATTCACACAGTGACATCTCATGCTACAGTGACAGAGACAGGGACCCCCAAACCCAGAATCTGTTGTTTAGCAGAAGACAGGGGTACAGCAACAGCCTTAAGAACCATTACTGGGTGATTTGATTCTCCTCTTAAATTGCAGTTTCTAAATTCCTCTTACCCGCAGCAGAGTAGTAAGATTCCTAACACTGGAAGCAACTAAGCAGAGCTGAGTGGACACCTTCGATGGACAAAGGATCCTGTAGAGTGCACCGGTTTGTACCAGATGACTTCAAATGTCCTTTGAAAACCTCCAGTGCACAATCTCTGCTATTCATGAGCTGAAGGAATGAACCAAGGTCCACTGTGCAGTACTGACCCCAGGACAACGCTGACGTGCCCTCTGGCCCATCACACTGTGACTGAACCCTTCACAGTATTCCAGTGCTCTCCGGACTGCAGCCCACCTCCTGCGCAGTGACCTCAGCCAACCACTGAGCATTACTATGTGCTCCAGGCTTTACATTTGTGCTAGTTTATTAATCTTAATGAAGCAGGTATCATCTGATCTACTTTGCTAATGAGGAAGGCTTGAAAAACTCATGTAACTTAACACGGTTATAAGTGAGGAGCCAGGCTTTGAACATAGGGCTTTCTGACTTGAGTCTATTATCTTTTTTTTTGTTTGTTTGTTTGTTTGATACAGGGTCCCGCCATGTAGCCCAGACTGGCCTCGTACTCATGGTGATCCTCCTGCCTCCGTTTTCTAAATGTTGGGATTACAGGTATGTGCCACCATGCCTGGTTTTGACCGTGGCATGGAAAACTGTGGCTTTTTGGGTAGTTATAAGCAGACTTTCAATCAATTCATTCTACACATACTTTATAGTTCAGAGCAGGAAGCATGTCTACAAATGGCTAGATCAGGTCTTAAGGCAGGCTAGGCTGATCAGGTTCCAGAATAAAACACCCTGGCAGCTCTTGCAGGAAGGATTCCCTGGTTGTAAGGAGCCTGGGTTCCTAAACTCAGAGCTGCAGGGACACAGGAAATCTCAGCCTTGTCTCTTTTCATGCCTGGGCATCTCTCTGCCACCTGCTTGGTCAGTTGACTGACCAAGTGGAAGGACACTGAAGGGTCCCAGGTGCTAGTTCCCAGGTTTTCATGCAAAAGGAAACCCGATGGCAGCTCTGCTCCTTGCCTGTGCTTGCCAAGTTGTTTGAGGCAGGTGGAGCCACTTTCTCTCGGGCTCTCTATCCAGGGCTGGGCATGTAGCTTGGTAGCAGAGGACACACAGGCCTTGAATTTGTCTCACATGGGGCCTTCTTTTCTCTGTGCCACTGGCTAAGAAACCTGGCCCCACATCAGCTCTGGAGCTTTTGGGTTCTGCACCTGCCACGGGGTCCAGCATGGCTTCTTCCATCCTTTGGGGGGTTACCAGGTGAGTCCAGGTGGTGTTAGGTCTGGTCATCACGGACCTGGAGCTTCTGTGTTTATTTTGCTTGGGAAGCCAGTAGGAGAGAAAGGGAGTGAGCTCCAGAGCTAGGATTTAGACACGCCTGGCTTCCCCGATCGTAACAGCATCAAACTTTCAACACCAGCCGCAGCTTCCTGTCACAGCACATAGTCATCCGGTCCCTTCTGTTCACTGTTGAAATGAAGGAGAATCCTAGAGTCTCTTTCAGCTCTGACCCAGGGCCCTGGAAATTATATGGGTTTATTCAGTTGGCTGTGCCTTATGGGTTAGTGGTACGGCACAGGCCAGGCCCTGGGAGCAAGGCAAACTCCTGCACCCTTGTTTTTTTGTGCAATCATGATGACCCACATTCAGGGTGTGATTGGGACTGTTTCAGCAGGTGGTGACTGCTAAGCCAAGGGGGTCAGCATCCCATTGAATAAGCAAATGCCTTTCAAACGAAATCAGCAGAGGCTCTGGGAGAGACGGCGGAAACTGATCAGCCTTTAGTTTGGATTAAGGCAGGGAAATCAGGGAACCCAATGTCCTGCGAGCTGATGTGACTGTTGTAGTCAGGAGCTGAGAAGTACTGAGTGCTTTGGCCAGATTTGGAGAACCAGATGGAGACAGGGGGGAAGGAATGCTTATTCACAGGCAGCCTCCTGGGTACCGAGTGCTGCGTGGTCGCATCTGCCACACTGAAAGCAGCTGCACAGGCCGAAGTGGAATCCCGGGGCTACTATCCATACACTATTGCACCTCCTGCCTGCCAAATTCCACGTCAGGTGCCGGGGACAGAAAGGAACTCAAGAGGCACAGTCCTTGTCCTATCATCCTCAGAGCTAGGGCTGTTTGTATAATAACTAAGAGAAAACAGCCAAAACGTTTAGTGTATCACCTGGTATGCACCAAGTGTTCCATGGGGCAGTTATGAAATCCAAGGTTAACTCCAAAAGGCATCAACATCCCAATATCACTAATTAGCTTGAAGCTGTTAAAGGCAAGGTGACCCGCCCAAGGGCATCAGTGAGTAACTAGCTGAGTCTGGATTTGAACTCAGGTTTCTAACCCTTCAGTCCGCTGTTTCTTTGTTTATGTTATCTCAACTGGTTGTCTGACTCCTTTGCATCCTAAGACACTAGGCAAAGTGGTCCAGTGGAGCCAGCTTGCAGTGGGAAAGGGATGGGAGCCAGGGTTGGCAGAATGGACAAACCTCAGTGCCCAGATGGAGCGGGTCCTGCAGCCTTTCAGGTGCCAAGTGAGTTCACCCACAGGAGAGCTGGCTCAGCTGCTGATGTCTTTCTTCCCAAGTGCCCCGGCATGGCCACTGGGTGAGACAATATGTGATGCTTTTAATTAATTCCCTTCAAATCCTCTTGGAATGAAGAACAGAATAAATGCATAAATCAAATGAAGTAGCAGTTGATTTCTTAGTTCATGTGAGCATTTCCTGGCTGAGCCAGCTTTGTGAGTCAGTTTGAACTGAGTTCCCTATCCAACTGTTCAAATTTTGCAATCTTTTTAAAGCAAATACATTGAAAAAGATGAGCTATTCATTGTGATCTGGGGCCAGGAATCTCTGCAAATACCCAGATGGTGACTCTTTCTGCCACCTGCAGGGTCGATCACTCCCAAAGCAAATTCCTGTTGACTGGGGCACAGACCACTTCCGGAGGGCGAGTGGGGGAGGCCGCTTATTTCTGGGAATCCTGACTGTGTTCATTTCCTGCCCCAGGGCACCATTTGGCAGGTGCATATCCAGTCCTGGGTTTGAGTGGGCCTTTATGTGTCGGCCTCACTGGGAGGCCTGGACAATAGGTCAAGCAGCTGGCTCGGGTCTTGTGGGGCTGTGGTGTCCCTTGGGCCTGGGAAGCTTATAGCCTCTCCACCCTCCAAGACCTCGGGCATCATCCTCTGGAGGCAGCACCTGCAGCAGCTTCATGACCATCTTCACATCTCACTGATAAAACCAGCTATTGCTGTGTCCTGGCACCTCCTGTGTGCAAGGCCCAAAGCGGGAGCTGTTGACACAGAGGTTACGGAAGTCTGGGCCTGCCCAATGTTGAGCCCTCTGTAGCAGAGAGACAGACCCAAGAGCAGATGCATCGTAACCCAGCACGGGGAGGTGGCAACCAAGGTGAGTGAGGTGCCAGGGACAGGGAAGGAGGTGGCTGGACACAGTGTGATGGCTCAGGTGAAGGAGACAGCACGCTGTGTCACCGCCTATGCTGACTCTGGGCAAATCCCTTTGGCTGAGATTCAGTCCCTGGTCTGTGATTCCACTGAACTGGCTGAACAAGCATATCTAGGATGCGGTGCCGACCAGAGTTAATAAAATCCCTGCCATCAGCCTCATCGAGTGTACCCCACCCTGCTGTGACGGAGCAGGGCACAGAAAAAACAAATCCACACTCTTCCCAAAGTGAGAAAGCAAAAATAACGGGGCCACTGTGTCCATCTAGTTCCCCCAAATAAACGAGCTGTTGACTCCCTGAAGAGAGCCATGCTGTCCCCAGCATTAAGAACGTGCATGGCCAAGGGACTGCAGGCCCCACCCAGGTGGCTTGGTGACCTGAGAAAATATCAGTTTTTCCATCAAGAACAAATTCACGAAACTTGGCAACTTTGGTAACTGTGAGTGTGTGTGTACACTTGCACACACGTTTTCCTTTAAGTACAACCACTCCTTGGTATGTGATGAGGGTCAGTTCCAGGACCCCTGTGAATATTAATATCTCAGGCTCCTCCTGGCCCTTAAATCAAACGGTACAGTATTTACATTCAGCCAATGTAATCTCCTGGTGTTTGATATCATCTCTAGATACTTATTATACCCCAGATAGGTAAATGCTGAGTAAATGGGTGCTACATTGTACATGTTAGGGGGTACTGACAAGGGAAGGAGGTCTATATATGCTCAGTGCATGTTAGTTCAGTTCATTTTCCTTAAATATTTTCAGTCTGCTGTTCTTTGAATCCAAGGATACAGAATCCATGTACCTGGAGTGTGTCAAGCATGGAAAGCTAGGTCTCAGCAATCTGATTAGTTTCTACCCTTTTTTAAAGCAATTTTTTAGCCAGGCGTGGTGGTGCACACCTATAGTCCCAGCACTTGGGAAGCTGAGGCAGGATGATGGGCATGAGTTTGAGGTCAGCCTAAGCAACACAGTGAGGTCAAAGCCAGTGAGACCTTGTTTTAAAAACACAAACCAAAAATAATGTTTTTTCCCCACATCGTCTGGAATCTGAGCTTCCTTTCTGCATGGAGGGTGGGGACAGCGTGCAGCGGGTGTCTGGGTGGCTCACAGATGGGCTTGGGTGGGAGATGGGAGCACTCTGGACAAGAGACCAGGTGTGAAGGTGCAGATGCTCAGGAGGTGGGAGTTGCCCTGAACTCAACGTTTCTTTCTTGCACTGAGGGGAGCTCTGGGTGTGGCTAAAGAACAATAGGTGGAGATCTCAGGCACTTGTCACAAAAATTCCTAACAGACTGGCCCAGGCAAAGCACCCTGCCTCCCACTGAGCCTGCACCTCCTGTCCCACTGAATGGTGCCAACCTCCAGTGCCTATGAAGATCAGGGATCAAGCTATAAGTCAGGGCATGGATCAGCACTGTGGGTCCCAATCCAGCTTCGTCTCCACTCTTCAGACTACTCTCTCGTTCACCTCTGAAAGCCTTGGTTCTCTCTTCTATGAAATGGGAGTAATCAAAACCTCAGAGGACTGTTCTGGGGTACCCAGGTGTTTGTGGTGATGGTGCCCAGTAACAGCTGGCTGGCCAGGTGATGAGGAGGATGATTAGAAATTATCAATCTATCATGCAAGCAGGTAGTAGGGATCTCAGCATCTCCAGGGGTACCTGGGCCTATTTCTGTATGAGGAAAAGATTCCTCGGGTTACACAAAGCACTCAGAATGCTCGTGCAGATGGCGAGGGGTGTCTCCCCGGAAGTGGTCCTTCCCCTCAGCCTGGGGACACCTGAACACTCAGAATCCTTGTGGAGCTCTTAACTGTTCTGGGATTTTCGTGACTGTGGTTGTGCTCGCTCTCTGGTCTGGAGCGGTGGAGACAGTGGTCTCTGCCTCCGGGCAGGATATGCATGAAAAGGAATGTCAGCCTCAACCAAGTGGCTGCCGAGAGCCCAGGGCGGATGGAGGCCAGTAAGACCACCCTTTCCCAAGCACCTACTGTCTGCCAGCTGCTCTCTCTATGACTGGCACACATCACTGCTGACCTCTACACCCACTCCGCAAGATCCCAGCTCATGTCTCCAGGAGTGCAGCTCATTTCCACAGACTGTGAACTCCATGACAGAACCTGTGTTAGCCCAACATAGTGCCCAGCACATAGTAGGTGCTTAGCTAGATGAGCTGATGGGATGAATTTTAGTTTGAATAGTTCTGTCACATTTTATTTTTGGTTCAGGGGGATCGAACTCATGACCTCACACTTGCTAGGCAGGGGCTGTGCCACTGAGCTAAATCCCAGGCCCTTGAATAGTTCTCTGGGAGATCTGATCTGGGATACGGCTTTGAGTGAAAACATCCATTCAAGAAGGGTTGAAATAAAATCATATGATAAAACAGGAGCTCTGGAGTTGGAAAAGGACATTTGTAATCCTAATTCTAGGACAGGTAACTCTACTAAGTCTCATTCTTGCCATCTGAAAAATGGCAGCAGAGCTACCTGAATCAGATAGGCTGGGAATGGAAACGAATGTGCATAAAGCTCTAACCAACAGGAAAGGGGCTGGGTCTCCCCACATGGCAGGGACTGCTGCTGTCACTCTATGATTACTGTCATTCCCACTCATGGCAGCTGTATATCTCTGGGCACTGTCACCAGCACGCCTCCTGATTCTCTGGGTCAAATGCTGTCAAAGGCAATCCAAGCTTTGGCTCGGATCTGCCTGGCCCGGCCACCTGCTTGCCTGGACCACGGCCTCACAGTGGCCTTGGCTCTGTCCCTTCGTCGGGTGGCATGTTGGTGCCATGCTTGCCTAGCTGCATGGAGACTCTTGGCTGAGCACTAGGCTCCCAGTTCCATCCATGGCTGGGGCTCCGACCCACGCCTCTCAAGGCTGGTCCCTGACTGACTTCCTGACGGTGTCCTACTACTTTCCAAGGTGCTCTTGTGAGCTAAAGTTGGGGACAAAGAAACAGGCTCAGTGCCAATACTGTGGCTGAAAATTCATTATCGATGCCAGAAACCCACCAAGTCCTTCTGGCTGCTACCTGGGCCTGGGTTTCTAGTATGTGTTCAGGAAATGAACTGCTCTTAGTGCTACTTCTGTGGAGCCTGAGGCCTCAGGGTTAGTAGGTATAAAAATAAGTCACCGGGGCTGGGGATTTAGCTCAGCGGCATAAGTGCCTGCCTTGCAAGCAGGCAGTCGTGAGTTCGATCCCCGGTACCGATAAAAAGGAAAAAGACAAAAAAAAAAAAAAAAAGTCACCGTGGTTACCACCTTGCTGTTCCCCAGGGGGGTCTACCTCTCTGTCTTCTGATCACATGACAGGAACTCACTCACCAGTCCTTTATGGATGTTAGGAATGTCCATATTCCTTGCTTTTGTTAATGAAACATGAGCAAACAAGATGTGTTACTTCTGGATTAAAAAACAAAACCAAAACCAGCGTACAACTCACAAATCTCTGACCCGTATAGAGGAGGCACATACTGCGGTAGTGCCTTTCTGGGCTGGCAGGCTAAGTAACTCAAATCAGCTCCTGCCTACCCTCAGAAGTCGGACAGCATGAGTGAGAAATGAATCTTGGTTGTGTTACACCTCTAAGAGTCGGGGATGCTTGTTACTGCAGCATAACCTAGTTTATACTGACTGATACATAGTCAAGGCCTACAATAGTAGATATCATATTCAAGTTGCTCACAGAGCACACACTTTCTGTTGGATTTGTCTCATGATAGGACTCAAGGAGGTCAGTCAGACAGAATCCTGCCTTCAAGTGGCTGACACCTTGAGAGGAAGCTGACTATTCAGAGCCTGAGGCAAGGGGCAGATCAGGCCGTGAGGGCTTCTCTGTGAGTGGTAGTAGTATCCCAGACCAACAAAACCTCAAGGTCTGTAGTATCACCTCAAAAGAGAGGTGAAGAGAAGATAGCAGTTTTTTCTTAGGGAGAAGGAGGAGTCCAAAGAGAGGGACAGGGAGGCTGGTTGGAGGACTGTGGACTCTGGGATTTATTGCTACATTTCATTACTGGCTCTCAAGGGGCTCCAGAAAACAATTACTAGATTGAAATGCATTAGAGTAATTCCATTTTTACATCTCCTAACTTGGATAATGACAGCTTTTCTGCAATTAGGAGCGG